GGGGGGGGGGGAGGAGGTCATCTTCAGGGTATGTCAAATAAAAGATGAACGACTTTTTACCTGCATATCTCTGCTCTCATTGGAGCTGTTTTAAAGAAGCTTGCATTGTATATACAGTATATTGATATGTTCCCCAACATCGTTTTAAAATTCCATCCAAATCAAAATGGCCGAAGCAAGGCAATGAGCATCTATTCAGGGTAAATCGGGTATTGAAAATTGGCCTCGAACTCCATGCGAGTGCCTCGTCCTCTGCCTCGTCTGCCGACCAAGGCCAGAGGAAAGGTTCAGGTAGGTACCTTTCCCTTGGCAACATCTGAATAAACTTCCAGCAAACTCTGTTTTGATATTATTGATTCGCTTGTCATCATTTTCATGAACTTGATTCCAAGCAATCTGCAAGAAAAGGTCAGCATGAAAAACTAATTTCAATGGAGAAGTTTTACGCGGCCTGGATGATATGCTAGCAGAGCGCTCAGGCGTGCATGGTAATGGAGAGGACATGTCCTCTCCATTGCCCACACGAGCTCTTGACTATTTTCATTAGCAATTTTTAAAATCATTATTTGTTGCTTTGCCTCTGAGCAATGAATTTGCAGGAAAATTTTCGGATATGGTGGAAAGACATCCATCTAGGCACAGCGAAAATTTCATGAAAATAGCTCGAGTGGGAACAGAGATAAATTTGTCTTTCGCCGTTCGTCTTTTTGTTGCCATACCCTGTATGTCTAGAGATCCGGTCCTAATCTTTCTTTCGCCTTCCTTTCTTTTCGTCCTTGAATGGGGACTCACTCCTATCACTCATGATGATCCTGTAACTGCATTTTGTATTGCTGCCAGTGCTACCATCCTCTGCTTGTCGATTCCGCCTCATATAAAGCCTGCGAAATCTATCGCATTTGAAGACCACTCTCTCTTCATCGTCAAATAGCTCGAAAAATAAGAATCACCGTGACCTGTACTACTTGGCATGCAGTACATAGGGATCCTATCCTTTCGATTGTTAGGGGTTTTAAAAATCCACCCCGAATTTGAAAGGATCCTTGCCGACCTACGCTGGTCTGCGGACACCGCAACTTTCGTACCGGCACGAGTTGAGTAACGATTGCGAGAAGATTTAGACGATTCAAATTTTTGTTGTGGGCGAGGAGTAGGGGAAGGGTTTCAGTATTTTATTAATTTTTTCCCTCAAATTTCTCGCGGGCCGCATGGAAGCGCTACGTTGACCGCACGTTGGACAGCCCCACTGTATGTGAAAATGAAACTAAGTCAATATAATTATGAGGACTGACCACGCCACGCGAACTTTCCGCAAAAGGTATCTTTTGATACATCGCATTAGTAGCAAGATCTTGATGACATTGGTTTCTTCACCGGAGGGCTGGGTTACCTCTTTCCTCTAAGATCCACTCGGAACGTTTCGCACGCATGATCGATACACTTGCCTGACGACGACGATGCAGTCGTCCCATATTCATCTTCTCGATGACCTACATGCGAAGGCAACGAGATTGTCAGCGATTTTTTGCTCTTCATGATGTGACGCAAGGAACACACGGATCCATCCAGACCATCCAGATTCCAACGATCCCAATTCGGACAGTCAATCATTTCTTCATGGCAAACATTGCTGTACGAGACACGGGGCAACTGGGAGGGAATATGGGCAACTCTTTGTATTCCCTAGCATTATTCCTGTTGAGAAAGATATTAAAAATTCGGATTAATCGGTAATGTTGCTCTTTTAATGGTGCTTACTCTGTCGGAAGAACATGTTCGCGTTTCTCGATGTGGTTGTGTGATCAACGTTTAAGAAGGTAAGATCTTCAATTTCTTGTAATATTTGGGACAAATTCATATTTAGGACACCTCTTAAATAGTTTAACAAGGGAACTGCATGAGCTGTCGGCTATCCGGTCTTTCAAGCGAAATTGTATTTAACGCTTTGAGCCCTGGCGATTTGAATGTGCTATGGGCGTAGGACGTCATATGACGGCTGCAGGGCTCGAAGTGTTAAGGAAGCCCATATCCAGTGTGATCGAGTTGGTGCCACTCGGGGTAATACGAGCACCTTCTTTCAGGATGATGTGGGCATTCGAATTTTTATCCGTTCATTTCAATAAAGACGCCAATAAAGTTTGAGAAACACTCCCATAGATTTACGAATTGGAATGCATGCAATGATTGCTTCATATGGTTCCAAGCGAATTTTGTTGGACGCGCGAAACAGTATTGCTTAATCTGCCAGGACCGTGTGGATTGTTTCATAAAGTCTTCATAAACTCACATTCAAAATAACCTGATTTTACAATTTTATCACATTTTAATTAACTGGCCGTTTTACCCTAAACAGGCAGGGGAATATGGACAGGTCGAAGGTTTTTTATTTCTCATTTTTTACTTTATTATAGGAACTGGATTTTTTTTTACCATGCACGCTTGTTCGAGAAAAAATGTATGTCGCAATAATGAAGCGGTGATTTCTCTATCCATAAAACTTTCGACATTCCAACACTAAATGCAGTTAACATGCCCATTTTCCCCGAGTTACCTCACATTATGACTACGTCGCCGTCTTCGCTTTCATGACATTTAGTAATATGATTTCACGGAGGAGGCTGAAGTACCGATCTGGAAACTTGTCGCCCTATAAAACCAACGTTTGCTCTGGAATGTACTATTCGATTATTCTGTAAATTTAGGTAGGTTATTCTTTATTTTATTTGTAATTTTTCCAAGTTATTTATTTGATAATACGTGTAATGTCTAGAAGATTATGCATTCTACTATTTTCTTTCATTTTCCTTCATTTTCATTCATCAAGTTTTTGTTAAAATATTTACAATTTTCTGATGGGCAACCGGTTCCATAGTATTTTTTTCACGGCGTCATATTGGAATGTCTTTTGTGTGAGAGGAAAAGCGCGAGAGACATGCCGTGAGAAGGAAAAGACGCTGTCGTGACCTTGACTATAAGGAAGGGGCAGCAAGAGGGAGCAGCCCTTTTTTTCGCGGCCTTGCCCCCTCAAGGGGCTAGTTACAGTGGTATCTCTTCGTGGACGAACGTCGGGAGTGTGGTGGATACCATAGTGGCATAATGGAGGAATCGCAGAGGGGAGAGATCCTCTCTCAAATGAGGATTTTCCTCACTGACAATTCTCCTTCTGGTTCTCTTATCCTCCCTATTCATCGAGCCACTCAGCTCCTTCGAAACGATGTGAGATGCTTTACTAATAACTTCCTCTTCCCGCTATATTTCATCCCATTAGTGGACACTTTTTTTTCGAGACAATCGCGGCTCTACATCGCGTATTTTAGAGCAATCCGATAGTCTCTTCGATGAAACGGTCATCATTTTAATAATATTAACGTTATACAGGTTTGGAGTCTTTAAGAGCGATTGCTGAGCACGACGAAATTACTTCTATGACGAGTAATACATCTATATGAAATCGGGAAAAAATTTTGTCTGGAAGTATCCCTACGTATTGTCTGCGTGCGGTGACGTTCGGCAGCAAAGCCTCAGAAGACGTTTGAAATTCTGGGAATATTTCTTACGTTCCTTTAAGTTTCACATTCCTCATATTTTGTGATTTTCTTTTGAGTTTCTCGGAATCGCTCATGAAAATTTCCCATAACTGTGCAGTGCTCGATCCCCTCAGAATGGAATTAAGGGGCAAGTTTTGAACTGAATTCTTCAGCGATTGAGGGATCCTATCCCTCAATCGCCGAAGAATGGAAAAATGAACTCGTATCAAGTCGTCATCTTCTCCCCCTTGCACCTTCTATCAAATATTCCCCCTGTGGGCTGTTCGAACGCTATATCGCTTCGACTAGGGGCAGATCTGCTCTATGGCCTCCATTAAGCAGGAAACATGAGTGCGTCGAAAACCGAAGAAAAACGTATTTATTTGATATCGTTCGTGTATCACTCATGATTCGTGTTCCCCTCGTTATCAGGACTTCCTGGAGAAGTTCTTCTTGTTGTTTGCCCGGAAGTCCAAGACGGATGAGTCAGAGCCAGAGGCCATTCGACAGACCGAGTGGATCCGTCTCCTCAAGTCAAACATCATCACGTAAGACACTATCCCCTGAATATAGATAAAGGATGAGTACGCTCTGAGGAATGGAAGGCGAAAGGTCAAGTTATGCAGAGACGGAAAGAGAGACGAATTTGCCCTGAGGGAATCTCAAGAGTTTTCACCCGCAGGTATGATGATGAGAAGACTATTGGATGCCTCAGGGTCTCGTCACGATCTCTCTCCCTCTCTCTTTCCACCCCCTATCACGATTTGGTCACTTGTGCGTCGGATGGTCAGAGACCGACCCGTGCTTTTCATATTCTATTTAAAATCTAAACAGAATCGATACCATGGCGAAAGAAGTCATTCGCAGATCCTGGTTCGCATACGTAAGAACTACTTAACCCTTTTGTATAATTTACACGCCATGGAAACGGCCCATAGCACACTTCCTCCCTCCTAAGCCATGAATTTGACCATGGTTCGCGAAAAACAGGCATTCTGCGCTCGTGACAGTTTCGTACGGGAAGGTATGTGAATCACACACACATCAGTACTCGGTGTCGTGCTGACGGTCAATGATGGCTTCCTCGAAACGCAAATATGTCGAATCATTGCTGAGAAAAAAAAAATATTTGTGCTAGAAACGAAAGCGAAAGTTGTCCTTGAGATAGGTTTACTAGCCTGGTCTATGGTCCGGCATGAAGCTATAAAAGGAAGTGCAGCCGAGATGGCTCCTTCCTGCCTCGAGGGGGATGATGCGCTTTAAAAGAGAAGTCGTGTGAGAGAGAGGAAAAAATCAAAGAGGCAGTCTTCGGTTTGGACAAGAGCGAGCCGATGGAACTCGTTTGTCTGGGCCGGCAATTCGGAATTAATCCAAGAACTTGGAAACCGCATTACTAGAAAGCACTACTTCGTCGGCTCGTTGAGGTTCTGTTGCGATGCAACGACAAGAGGCGAATCGCGTTCGGCCGACTTCGAAGCAGCGAATCGATAGGGCACCGTTCTGGAAAAAATAATGGACGGTAGCGGATACGCCGGGGAGCGAATTCACAATGGAGATGGAGGGACGATGTTTTCCAAACTTCTACCTAGTCGCACACTGGCTCGAAAATATGATTGCCGGAAATGCGAGCAGTAGAAAGAGAGGGAACGATAGGCATTCCTCTTCGTTGCAAACAGGACTGAAACCTTCGATACGGTGAGTTCCAATCTTCACGGTTCGTTCGTGGCGGTAGACCAGCTTCGAAGTCGTTTAAGTACGCGTTGGGAATCTGCATGTCGTTCTTAACGTAGCGATCGAACTCCCAGTTCATCAAACTGTTGAACCGATTTGCACGTTTTAGGCACCCTCGACGGACTCGTCTCCCCCACAGTGTTAGAGAGATGTCCCTCCCAGGGCTAGGCAACCAGATTTCATATTCGTAAATATTCCGACAAATAGTACAAATTTAGTTCCTGATTTCCTGGCTGATGTGTAAGTGTGTATGTGTGTGTTTATGTGTTGTTTAGATTCTTCTCTAAGTATCCTAAGTATCTTCGTGAAACTCCCCCATTAATATCATCAATTGCTAGTATGCAGCACAGTTACAGTCAATGGTGCAGCTACCTGATACTCGATTTCTATAATATTTATTGGTGACTTATTGGTTAGTTTTGGTGATTGGTGACTTCCAATTAATCCGTGAGTCATTCCTTTAAATTTTCTGAATGCTGCGTATGTTGGGTGCTCTTTTCTCCCCTGAATTAACAGGCTTTTCTGCCTTGCTTTTAACGTAGGCATTGATTCATGAGTCAAATGACAAGTATTTGAGTTAGAGTGCGTATGCATTTCATGAGAGTTGAAATACCTCGAAAATTGTTGCAAAATGTATTATCCTGGACATAAAAAAACGTGGTTGCTTCGTGATCAGCTTGACGCACAGTTGAAGGACCGTGACATGCAAGCTCCTCCGCAAGCTTGCAATGCATAAAGCTGCCTTGTAATGCAGTCCCTGTCGAAACAGGGGATTCTATTGGGGAATCCCATTTCCTTTGCTCCGCCTCACCAGAGATGGTTGCTCGTGCTGATGAATGCTTTCATGCATTGACGATAGTTCATGGATGGATAGGCGAGATCCTCCCGAAGCAATTCATCAGCATAAGCAACCACTTGTGGTGAGGTGGATGTCAATAGCTGGTCTGAGCGTGGGTCATCTGCGACTGACTGGCATCCTTCCCGGAAGCTATTATGCTACCTAAGCGTTGTGCCCTTCGACGGACAAACATCTCCATACGCGAGGGTCATTTCGGCTATAGTGTCTGTCGAAGTCAATCTGCGCCTTACGCAAAAGTGAATCACATAACGTTATTAAATCTCTAAAGAAACATCCACAGCAACGAAGAGCAAAAATACGTATTCACAAGTTTGGGTCTGACGCAACACTGTACAATAGTGTTTATAAATCAGCATGCAGACACAGATGTCAAGATCGCTTACGGTAGCTCTATGCAGCTCTACTGCTACGGCACGACTCATTGCGGAACTAAAGTCCTGGTCTTAGAATTAAATGAACAGCTCTCGTGAGAAAGCCAGCTGATAGAGGAAATTAAAATTCGTCACTGTGCTGCATGGGAACGTCAAAATTGACGTGAATAAATTAAAATACAACAGCCATATATAACGCGCGTCCCAGACGAATGTCACTGAATTACTTTTCCACACAGCAGGGCTCCAAACGCATTTCCATGTGACCTTGCTATTTCAGTTAATCATATTGACAATCATAGGCACGAAGAATGAAAGTTATCGATTGTAAACATGTTCCAGTAGTGCAAGCTGTGACAAGGTTGGTCCTAGTTTGAGCTAGCGAATATTGGGGGAAGGAGGCAAAATTCCTACCAGAGAAAAAAGGAGGGAGGGGGGAAGGGAGAACGTTTTGGGGCCCCCTTTTAAAATTGCATCATATAGATTTTTCGTTTCAAATGTTGACATGAGAAAGTCAAATACGAGGTGAAAATTCAAGTACATTAGAACATGACATTTTCTTCAAAGGTTATAGGAAAGGGAGGACTCGCTTTCTCATGCTTCAAGAATCGCTCCGTGCACCTCCTGCCAGAGAGCAAACAACAGATTTTTTATCGCGATCGAATGACAGTTGGGGATGAACCTTCACCAGTATCGCTTATCCATCTTAATAGAGATGGATCATAATGCCACTGGTGTCATGGGCCCCTGGATATGTAATCAATGATTCCTACACGCTCATTCGTAAATCCTCGGGTCACATCTATAGACGGTTCGATGTAAACGGCCAATCAACTGCTTTCACGACATGGGGCTGTCACATACGATTTTCCTCATGTCGGATGCACATATCTTGGAAGTCCAGTGTCCAGCTGGCTTGTGCATATTAGAAAGAGCATTTTCATATTCCCTCTGTTGCTTTGGACTCCCTTGCAGGACCGCGTCGAATTCGACTTTCCGGATCGCGTTTGACTAGTATATCATAATTGGATTTGAAAACCTATACTTGCTATGAATAGCTATCATCCTGCATGATCTGACTTCTAAAGGTTGACAATAAGATTATCTGTATCCGTGCATTTATTTTTGGAGCCCTGTATAAGGGCAATTCAACTCTGTACCCAGGTAGCACATAACATTGATTCAACGTTGATTTGGTGTGGATCGAATGTTTCACTGTTGAAAGTTTATACTTCTATGTTGAATCAACATTGATTCAACGCGGTGACCATCACCGTTTATACTCCCACATTGACTCAACATTGACTGAATGCTGCACTATTCACGGTGGAAGTGTCAACATTATATCAGCCGCGATTCAATGGATTCTTTTGCAGTTAAATAAACGCTTGTTTTTTTTATTATCTGCCCTCAGGATTTGTTTGTGTACTTCATCATGGTTCGTTGAATAGTTTAGTCAATCGCCCAGAATACATTACGATCGCGAAAAGTGCTTGATTTGGGCAGATAAGAAGGTGGCTGAAATGACGCCTGGCGTAAAGTCTATCGCACCAAACAAGCAAAATGAAAAATAAATTCTCGCGAGCATCTTACATGGTGGAATTGTCTCAATACAAACGTAAAATCAGAAAAAGGAGATTCAATAAAAATCATATATATATATGTGTGTGTGTGTGTGTGTTTTAAAGCCAATTACTCGATTGACTTGGACATGTTGAAATCTAGGCATTTACCTTACTAATGAATGAAAGTGCATTTGTGAGGCTGGATCGGTGTGACCCATCCTATAAATTAAAAACGCAATGAAGCTGCGTCCGTGCATGTGAAGCGTCCGATGCTTGAGGCTTGTGCATCTCCGCAAGTCTATGTGCGCATGTGCGGCGCCTTCAGCCTGCCAAAGGGTGTAGGTCTCCCTCTCTTGGGCTAGCACTTTTTTTCGAGGCCTTTGCGACTGTCGGATCTACTCTCGAGAACGTTATAGTCCGAGGGGGATGGGGGAAGAGTTCGGGTAGCATAAGACGGCAAGAAAACAAAATGACGGAATCGAACCCTGGACTTCTTGATTCGTAAGAAAAGGTGTTACCACTACACCAGGAAACTCGAATCTTATAGCATTTCTTTCCATGTCATCCCTAGTACTACAATGGGAGAAAGAGGCATTCCACGAACCACCCTCGCATTCAAACGCGTACTGGGTTCGATCTTCGTTGAAGACGAAATTTATCAAAAATATATTGGAGTTGGCAGGGGTTAAAATCGGAATGCGAACAGTAAGTTGAGGGTGACGACCTCAGCTTCCCGCACAAACGCTGCCAGCAGCAGGCATTACAAAGAAACCTCACATACCGA